CTTTTGTACAACATCGTTTTAATTAATAATTGTTTTTTAAGTATCAGCTCAGATGATGTTTTTTTTTTTTAATTATGCACAAAGCTACACAAGGGCTATCTGTGCTCTGCCCACCACGGGTATCGAAACCCGGTTTCTTGCGTTTTAAGTCCGCAGACATACCCCTGTGCCCCTGGGGGGGGGGGGCTAGCTCAGATGATCGTCCACTTACTGATTATTCATACAGGGTGGTCCAAATATGGAGTTCCACAAATGTTCCTCAAAGGCCATCTGCGCATAGCCGTTCCTAATTTTGAGTTACGCTGTTCACAAAAATCAAAGGATAATGAGGTTTTGATTTTTTTTTCAAAATTTGAGTGAAAAAACACACAGAGACTCAATATTGACGAAACATGTTTATAACAAATATCACGGGTAAACAATATCAAGTAAGTCGAAAAATTCATGTGCAAATATGAAAAGCAATATTAACGAGAAAAATGCCAATATTTGACTGCATAAATATTAAAGGAAAAATAAGTTATTCTTTAGTAACTGGTATGTCCTCTTCTATTGTTTATGACTTATCTGTACATGTTCCCCATACTGCTGATAACATTTTGGATGACCTGGTGGGGCAGCACAGTCCACTATTGTATGAGGACAGCTCTGAGCCCCTTGACAGTCGTAGGAGCAGGTTGTCTCTGTCTAACTGCTCTCCCTAACAAGTTCCACACATGCTCAATCACATTCAGATCCGGTGACTTAGCTGACTAGTCCAGTACCTCTATTCCTTCATCCTGAGAAAATTGCTACGTGATCCTGACGGCGTGAAGACAGCCCGAGTGCGTTAACCAATAGAGCAGCGGCAAACACTGCTCGAGAAATAGTTCCTAAAAAACAAAAAAAACTCGATTTAGACATCCAGCACTTGAGAACTGCATAAAAGTACGGTATCAACCCTTATCTCTGTTGGAGTTTTTCTCGATTTAGACATCCAGCACTTGAGAACTGCATAAAAGTACGGTATCAACCCTTATCTCTGTTGGAGTTTTTCCTATATAGATAGAGTCATCTAAATTCAAGGGATAACTTGACGTGAATGTGCTGTTGTTAATCACGTACTGTTTCAGTTGTTCTTTCTTTTGAACGTTTTAATTACAGATGTAGGTTTCGTATGATTTTGGGATGTGTTTTTCTATTTTATACATTAGGAAATTGATCAGAAGTTGCAAATATTGCTGCTTTTTTGTGTGTATAATCATATATGTATTATATTTCGTGGGATGACATACGTGGGGAAGTTAGTTTGTATTATAGTCAACTTGTTTTGTCAATATACAAGTCAGTGCTTCCCAAACTTCAGTCATTCGATTTTTGCCATATCTGCGTACCACCTATACTATTATTTACGTTTTACATAATATTTTTCTTTATATCGACTCACTTTTTTTATTTAAATAAATTTATCTTAAAACGAAATTTCACAACACTAGGATAAATGGAAAACCAGTATCACTTACCATAATATTTATTTCAAAACATTATTTTTCTCAGCTCAAAATGACATTGTTATAACAAAGTGGAAAGAACTTCAGAATTCATGCTACAGTCTTCATCTTTACCCCTTAAAAATCCCGTTTTTAACCACTGATCCATGATGGATTCAAAAGAGAAAAAATAAATAAAACGGACACACACTCATAAAATGAGAATCTTCATCTAACACTAACTAACGAACATGGTTCTTAGTATGTCATTGCGCATGCTCTCGGAATACACGTTAGCCAATGTTTAACTGTTGACAGATAATGTAATAACCGCGTTAATTTTTTTCTAATCCATATTAAAATAAATATATAACTATCAAAATAAAAAAGTCGTCTGCGTATCACATAAGATCATCTCGTGTACCACCAGAGGTACGCGTACAACACTTGGAAACACTGTACTAAGTTTTCTGGGTCTACCGAATGACCAAAATACATTAACTTTCGCCATTGTATCCGCTGCTGTTGCTTTGCGAGCATGCGCAAGTTGTTTGATTTTACCTTTACTCTGTACACTAAATATTTATAGAGAAAGGAAATTTCATGCACTTATCACAAGTTGAGGTACCAAGTAAGCCTTTCGTATCCCACACATTGAGTGCTTACCTGTGCTTCCCCCCAAAAGAAATATTATGTTATATATTTAAATTCAGAAAAGAGCCTCGTGATTGAATGATCACATTTCTAGTGCTATTTAGCCAAAGTTTGGCTTTTAATAGCGCTTGTTCAGAATGTAGCTTTTAACATTAAAAAAAACAACAACAAATATTGGATACTTTAGTTAAAATTAGTGGAGCACTTGTACTCTAAAAATGTCATTTTATGGAAAAAACTAACGTTTTTGAAACGCTTTTTTTGAATCCACTTTATTTTAGTCCGTTTCACCTATTCGTACTCTAGAGTAATGGTAGCTTCATGTGGAACTTCTTGTTTTATTCGTTATTGCACAAGATTTCTAGAATTACGTGGTAGTAAGGTTTTATAATTTGCTCAAAATTAACTACCAGAATATGTTGCTTACCATAGTTAAGTATATAAGTTTAAGCGGTTCGTCAGTTTTAGAGAAGTAGCACACAATGGGTAGCACAACATCAGTTGAAGATATGAACACATTTGTGAAATATTGTAAGATGTTTTATTTATTAAATTCATACGATGTTAAAACAATTATAATTTCACGCAGGTCACAATATATATATATCCCCCCCCCCCCCCCACACACACATATAATGATTTCTCAGGGCACAACAGTTTCAATAACATATAATTAAACCAGTCTTTATATACCTCGAGCACATGTAAATATTTCACTCGTGAATAAATCCTACGAAATTGTTCATAGAATATTTTGAATTCAGCACTTTCTTAAATGATGATATTGTGTCCATAGATAATTTATCTTGCAAGAATTCCAACTGTAATTAACAAGGTAAGACATGTCATGTAATAAAGTGTTAAGAGATTCATTATCTACATCAATAAAGAAACATCCATCTTTCTAATGTCAACCAAAATATTAGGAGGTTGTTTCAGAGGCATATTTTCTAACTTTACTTCCTGAAAAGCAGTTTTTATATTAATAATACATTAAACTATAAAAGTGAAATAATCATATTTCTTATTTGTCTTCGCCTCTAGTTGTGAACAAATGTTCTTTTTAACTTTGGAGTTATAAAGAAATTAATTCTTGAAGAGACGAATTTTAGTTTTTGTTGTATTCAAATTACTTTCTAGTAATATTAATCTTAATTTATGGAAGTTATATGTAACCATATTGTGGCTCAGTATTTCGTTGCATTATAACTTGTACAACAACAACAAATGGAAAAAGGTTCGTGAAGAAATAACTAAATGAATGCTTTTATGTGCAAAAAACAAACACGAGTTCAATAGAGAAGGAATAAAGATGAAACTGGTGAGAATAATATTACTCTCGTGAAAAACAGAAATGCTATGAACAGATCACGTTGGAAAAAAAATAAATATTTATATTAAAGTCAAAGACAATCATAATTTTTGGAGTTTTAGAAAGACTGAAAGTAGAAGTATGAATGAGAAGTTTTATATATTACAGAGTATTACTATTGGAATTTACAAAATGTTTTCGTTCAACGGAGGAAAGATATAATGATGATGACATTTATATTTCAAGGTCCTCAATAAATACAACCTGTTATTGCACTGAAAGAGGTGAAGGTTTCTTCTTATAGACTTTATTTACTTTACAAATTCCACTGCTTTTTTTTTTTTTTTCAGGTTTTCGAATGATTGGCATTCCAAGTTAATTTGTCTAAGAAGTTCAAAAGGTGTAGACTTGGTGTTGGTAGATCTTCTTATCCCCCCCCTCTTCCCGATAATAAAATAAGTACATCGAAAAGTACTAAAACTCACGTAATACACATATATATATATATAACAAAATCAAATTGAAAATACCACAAGACACTACTGATTAAGTTCTATGTTAAATAATAACTTTTGTTTCACAGTTTGAAACAAAATATAGTTTTTGTAAGTTCTTTTTCATCATAAATTTGTACCATTTTACTGTTTAATTAATAATTAATATATTTGTTATACTTTTTAAGTCTTGGTTCCAGTTAGTCATGATTCATAGAAACACTTGTATTTTCTTTTTTATTTGTATGACAAACTTTCTTAATTGTGCTTGAAAAATAAAACATGTTGCTAGTTTTATTATTTCTAAATTACTGAGGAATAAAAAAGGATACATTGTGCAATGTTATTAGTCCATTATTATCAGTCTCCTGGTGGGTCAGCGGTAAGTTTACGGACTTAAAGCACTAAAATCCGGGGCTCGATTCCCCGTGGTGGACAGAAAGCAAATAGCCTGTTGCATAGATCTGCACTAAAGAGAACAACCATTTTGATCATTTACCTTTGGAAAGACGTCTTGATGTTCATATTTAAAAACATAAAAATTATAATATGTCTAAATAAAACTACACCAGGCCCGGCATGGCCAAATGGTTAGGGCGCTCGACTCACAATCTGAGGGTTGCGGGTTCGAATCCCCGTCACAACAAACATGCTCGCCCTTTCAGCCGTGGGGGCGTTATAATGTGATGGTCAATCCCGCTATTCGTTGGTAAAAGAGTAGCCCAAGAGTTGGCGGTGGGTGGTGATGACTAGCTGCCTTCCCTCTAGTCTTACACTGCTAAATTAGGGACAGCTAGCTTTGTGCGAAATTAAAAAACAAACCAATCTACACCTGAGACTACAACAATATGTAATATGGAGGAAAAGATAAGGGAATATATACGTTAAAAATTAACAAGTTATAGATATACTTAAAAGAAATAATTCAACATCAGAACAATATTAAAATATAATGTTGTAGGCTATGCTTTTCTTTTTAACTTAGATGTATGTAATGTTGTTTGGCCAGTGAAAAGTTTGACTTCACGTGATGAGCGTGTAGTTTAACATTCGTAATTTTCTCGAGTTTTAGAACAGTAAAGAATGTAAGTTAGGTTAAAGCAGATGACTAGTGAGTCTATTAATATATTATATTGAGTGTGAAGTAGAGAAATTTATTTGATACAGTTAGTTCAATGTTACGATTATGGAATTTGTGTTTCGACGAAGTATAAGAGATATACCATACGTTTTGTAGAGTGAAATTGTTGTATTAGTGCCTACTATACACTTAGGCCTAGCAATGACATTGGTAAATTTCATTACATTCTTCTTTATACCGAATAATCCAAAAGAATCCGCCCAACGAAATAAAACTGTTGCAACAATATGTTAAACATTGTGCATTAAAATATTACTGTGAATAACATTAAGTAATAGTAGTAATTGTGAATTTATATGTACACGGTAACGTCTGCCATCAGTGTAGCCTATTAGTATTAGTATTAGGCTATAGACTAGTAGTACAACTAATGGTAGTAGTAGCAGTACACTGTACCACATGATAACTTTTGTTTGCCCAATTACACGTGAAGTTTGTACAATCAATCTTCATCTAAAATTTAATAATTTTACTTCATCAGAAAAAATAGGAAATTAAGTATTCAACAAAAAACTAATTTTGAAACATCTAAAATTTCCCAAGCCCAGTGACGCTAACAGTGTTGTGTGACAGGCCCAACATTAATCATTCATGATTCTGAGAAAAACTTCTAAACATTCAGTAAATTTAGCTTACTTTTGAATCGGTTAATTTCTGCAGAAAGCCTAATACATTCTAATACACTATATACAACTTCCAAAATGCTATCTATGATACAGAACTTTTTATCGTTACTTTCATGCACCCCCCCACCCCCAGTGGCACTGCGATATGTCTGCGGACTTACAACGCTAGAATTCGGCTTTCGATACCCGTGGTGGGCCGAGCACAGATAGCCTATTGTGTAACTTTATGCTTAACTACAAACAAACAAACGTTACTTTCACTCATATTTTGTGAAAGTGAAACATTAGACAAGTAACTTTAGAATAAATACGTAGGCTTGCGGCTTGCCTTTATTTATTGATTGTTTTATTTTTTCATTATTATTTTATTTTGCGGCAACCATTACTAAGTTACTAACACAGTGTTCGAAAGAAATAACCGTTCAAGTACTAGCTGCAGCCCTTGTTCCATCGAAATTAAGCTGGTGTATATGCAACTGAAGCTATTTACTTGTTTCTTATTGGAATCTTAAGTTGTTTACTTGTTATTTCTTTGTTGAATACTACTTTCAAGCGTAACCAACTTTGATTCCAGTCAATGTTTATTCAATCTTGTGTAGTTTGGAGAAATAAGCAGCCTTTATTTTCCTCCGCCTCCCTCCCCCAGAATGCCCATTTTGTAGCTTTGTGCTTAACAACGAGAAAACAAACAGACAGACATTTTCCTCCAAATTTACAGTATTTAAAGTGAGACATAAATTTTGATAGATGATGCAGTGAAATATCTTCTCCAAAAGGGAGTTTTCAGCCCCTTAAATTGGAATTCCAGTGATGCGTATTTAACGTCACTATTTAGTTAACACCATTTTAATGATAGGTAGTAATGTACTGAAGCTGCTTCATTACATTTCGCTTTGTTTCATCTAGTCACACTGACAGACACATCTAGCTTTTTCAACAGTATTAAAAGGATGAAGTTTACCAAGTCTGTTTATGGGTATGACCACTTCTATTTACAAACAATTACTTTAAATGAAACCATTGATTAGCTTCCAGTTTAGTTTATCAATACAACGTATTGTAAAAGGTATTCCAAGAAAGATATCTAATAAAGTTCTGGTTCTAAAGACTCACATTGTATTTTTAACAACGTTTATTTGTAGTTAACCACTTGTTTGTTTGAAGTTAAGCACAAAGCTACACAATGGGCTGTCTGTGTTCTGTCCACCATGGGTATCGAAACCCGGATTCTAGTGTTGTAAGTCCGCAGACATACCGCTGTGCCACTGGGAGGCAGTTAATCACAAAGCTACACAATGGGCTATCTGT